GTGGGATAACCATGCCAGGGGGTTTAATTAAGCCAGGGTTAATTATCCTGGGGGTTAATTGTGCTGGGGTCAGCTGTGCCAGGTGGGATAACCACACTGGTAAAGGGCATTAACCACGCTGGGGTACCCACACCGAGGGGGGTGCCCGTCCTGGTTGCCCATCCCGGGGTGCCCGTGCCAGCTGGCACCGTGCCCGGGCTCTGTTGGCCTTGGCCTGGCCACACTGGGCACCCTCCAGCGCTTCCCCCCGCACAAAGGCTGCTTGTCCCCGCTGGGCACCTGCCAGCCCCCCTGGCACGGGCTGGGGACACGCCTGGCACCGGGGGCCGGCACGGCAGCCTGGAGCGGGGGAGGGTGCGGGGTCCCTGTGCCGGGAATGGATTTTGGGGTCCCTGTGCCAGGGATGGATTTTGGGGTCCCCGTGCCATGGGTGGATTTGGGGTTCCCCATGCCAGGGCTGTATCAGGATCAGGTTTGGGGCTCTCCGTGCCAGGGGTGAATTTTGGGGTCCCCCTGCCTGACCCAGAACAGATTTGGGTCTCCCCGTGCCCATCCCTGGGGCCCCTCCCGCTGTGGGGCCGCGCGTTTGGGGTCAGAGCAGCCCCACCTTGGCTCTGCCCCCCTGACCGTGTCTGCTCCTGCTGAAGGGGACCTGGAACCCCACGGGCGGCCCCCTGACCCCCCCACTGTCCCCTCCTGTCCCCTCAGGTGTTCCCTGGGAACAAAGACCCCGAGACGCCGGTGCTGAACCTGCTGCCCTCGCCCCTCGTGGGGCGATTCCTGCGCATCAACCCCCAGAGCTGGTTCCCCAATGGCACCGTCTGCCTGCGGGCCGAGGTCCTGGGCTGTCCCGTGCCCGGTGTGTGTCCCCCTGAGTGTCCCCCTGAGTGTCCCCTGCCCCCTGGGGACCCGCTGGTTGTCCCCTGGCTCTGCCCCAGCAGTGCCCAGCGCCGGCGCTCGCCACCAGAGCCGCGGTCTGTGCTGTTCGCTGTCCCTGACCGTGTCCCCTCGGTGTCCCCTCGATGTCCCCGCAGACCCCAACGATGCCCACACCTGGCACCGCCCGGCCCCGCCCGAATCTCACCTGGATTTCCGCCACCACAACTACAAGGAGATGAGAAAGGTGCCACCCCCCTCCCGGAGCCCTGGTGTGGCCTGGGGGTGGCTCTGTGTCCCCAAGGACACTGCGGGGGGCTGTGCCACCTCGGGTTGTCCCCAGGACTGTCCCTGACGTGTCCCTGTCACCTCCCAGCTGATGAAGAGGGTGAGCGAGGAGTGCCCCGACATCACCCGCGTGTACAGCATCGGGGAGAGCTCCCGCGGGCTGCGCCTCTACGTGATGGAGATCTCGGACAACCCCGGCACGCACGAAGTCGGTGGGTGGCGGAGGGGACAGCTGGGGACAGCCAGGGTGGGGCAGGATGGGCGTGGGGACAATGTCCAGGGATGGCCAGGGGTGACCGGGGGTGCCCAGGGTTGGTGCAGGAGGGTGGGGACAGTCACCAGGGATGGGCTGGGATGGTGACCAGGCCACCCAGCCTGGCACAGGATGGGGACAGGGTGACCAGAGATGCCCGGGATGGGGATGGGGACACGAGGACACCCAGGCTGGTGCAGGATGGGGACATGGTGGTCAGAGACACTCAGGATGGGGACAGGGACACCCAGACTGGTGCAGAGGGGGACAAGGACACCCAGGATGGGAATGGGGACACAGGGACACCCAGACTGGTGCAGATGGATGGGGACAGGGTGACCAAGGATGCTCAGGACAGGGACACCCAGGATGGAGAGAGGAGGTACTGGGACACCCAGACTGGTGCAGGATGGGGACAAGGACACCCAGGATGGGAATGGGGACACAGAGACACCCAGACTGGCGCAGATGGATGGGGATAAGGTGGCCAGAGACACTCAGGATGGGGACAGGGACAGCCAGGATGGGAATGGGGACACCGGGACCCCCAGACTGGTGCAGGGAGATGGGGATGAGGACACAGGGACACCCAAGATGGGGATGGGGACACAAGGACCCCCAGACTGGTGGACAGGGATGCTTAGGACAGGGACACCCAGACTGGTGCAGGACAGGAACACCCAGGATGGGGACACAGGGACCCCCAGACCGGTGCAGGGAGTTGGGGACAGTCACCAGGACCCCTCCATCCGTGTCCCCATCCGGCAGGAGAGCCGGAGTTCCGCTACGTGGCCGGGATGCACGGGAACGAGGTGCTGGGCCGGGAGCTGCTGCTGAACCTGATGGAATTCCTGTGCCGGGAATTCCGCCGGGGAAACCCCCGCGTGGTGCAGCTGGTGACGGACACGCGCATCCACCTGCTGCCCTCCATGAACCCCGACGGCTACGAGACGGCCTACAGCCTGGTACGGCTGGCACCGGCACCGCCGGGCCCGGCCCGGGGATCCTGAGCCCATCCCATCCCATCTCGGTGATCCTGTGCCCATCCCGGTGCCCATCCCGGGGATCTCAGTGCCCATCCCAGTGCCCATCCCATTTCGGGACCCGTCCCAGTGTTCACAGTGCCCATCCCAGTGCCCGTCCCGGTGATCCCCGTGCCCGTCCTGGTGATTCCAGTACCCATCCCAGTGATCCCAGTGTGCGTCCCATTGATGCCAGTGCCCGTCCCAGTGATCTCAGTGATTCTAGTGCCCATCCCAATGATCCCAGCGCCTGTCCTGGTGATCTTGATGTCCATCCCAGCACTCATCCCAGTGCTCATCCTGATGATCCTGGTGCCCATCATGGTGCCCATCCAGTGCCCATCCCAATGCCCATCCCAGTGATCCCAGTGACCAAAGTGCCCCTTCCCGGTGCCCATCCCGGTGTCCCCGGCAGGGCTCGGAGCTGGCAGGATGGGCCATGGGCCGCTGGACGTACGAGGGCATCGATCTCAACCACAACTTTGCCGACCTGAACACGGCGCTGTGGGACGCCGAGGACAACGACCTGGTGCCCCACGAGTTCCCCAACCACTACATCCCCATCCCCGAGTACTACACCTTCGCCAACGCCACGGTGAGACCCCAAAACCCCCGATCCTACTGGGGTGGTGCCATGGGGAGACCCCAAAACACCCCCACCCTATCACATCGGTGGTGCCACTACACAGTTGCCATCAGTGCCATGGTGTGAGTGACACCACAGGGGTGCTATGGCACAGGTGACACCACGCGAGTGCCATCGGTGCCATGGCGTGGGTGCCACCATATGGGTGCCATGGGCGCCAAGACACAGGTGCCACCACATGGGAGCCATCAGTGCCACAGCACCGGTGCCACTACACAGTTGCCATCAGTGCCACGGTGCGGGTGACACCACACGGGTGCCATCAGTGCCATGGGTGGTGCCATCACATGGGTGCCATTGGTGCCACAGTGTGGGTGCCACGGCACGGATGCCACCCCACGGGTGCCATGGGTGCCACCCCGGCGCAGGTGGCCCCGGAGACGCGGGCGGTGATCGCGTGGATGCAGCGCTACCCGTTCGTGCTGAGCGCCAACCTGCACGGCGGCGAGCTGGTGGTCACCTACCCCTTCGACATGAGCCGCACCTACTGGAAGGCCCAAGAGCTCACCCCCACCCCGGACGACGGCGTCTTCCGCTGGCTGGCCACCGTCTACGCCACCGCCAACCTGGCCATGGCCAGCGGCGAGCGCCGGCGCTGCCACTACGACGACTTCACGCGCTTCGGCAACATCATCAACGGAGCCAACTGGCACACGGTGGCTGGCAGTGAGTCGGGGTGGCCTGGGGAGGTTTGTGTTGGGGTTTTTTTTGGGGGGGGGCGCTTTGTGTCACCCCTGTGTCACGCTGGTAGTGGCAGCCAGGGGTTTTAGCACGAACGGGGTGGGGCTGCTGTGGAACGCGTCCCGAGCTGCTTTGTTTTTATTTTCTCCTCCCGAGCATCAGTCTCATTACAAGGTTGGGACAAGGAGAAGATGCTGAGGATGCTCAGGTCCTCAGCAGCTGCAGAATGTGATTTTACAACGCACTTTGAAAGTTTTTTGACTGATCACAAAACCAAAAACATATTGAAAGCACTTCATCCACTATAAGTACCTTTGTTTAAAACAATGCTTGCTTATTTCCAATACAAAACCTGCTTGTAAGCCTTAAAATACAACGCACAGAGCTCCATTATTAAGCTTAGACCTTCCTAATATCTTAGAATATCTCTTAGAATATCGAGTTATTCTAGCCAAGCGTTAATACCCAGACCATTGTTCTATTTGTCCTTGTTTCTACATTTAATATAACTTTTCTGCTGACAAACCTTATGCTTTCTGCTTAGCTCCAATTGCAGTTTGCTGTCTCTGAGGCTGCTTTTTTTGCAGCTTTCCCAAACCCCTCTGATTTTAAGGATTTCCCCACGCAGGTATGAATGATTTCAGCTACCTGCACACTAACTGCTTTGAGATCACCGTGGAGCTGTCGTGTGACAAATTCCCGCACGCCTCCGAGCTGCCCGAGGAGTGGGAGAACAACCGGGAGTCGCTGCTGCTCTTCATGGAGCAGGTCGGGCATGGGGGGGGGGCTCGGGGTGGCACCCGGGGGTTGGGGACACGGATCAAGGGTGACCCTGGGTCTGTCAGTGTGGGGGGGGTCTGGAGTGGGATGGGAATGGGGGAG